AGTTCAGCAAATGTCTATGGCATACTGAATATGAAGAAAATGAAGTTTTAAATGCGTTAATGTACGTATTACTCAAAAGCGGTAGTCCTCAAAGCGGTAGTCATGTTTTCATACTCACGAATTACCCGGAAAAAAATTTTAATGCTGGTTAAAACTTAATGTCATAGTATTTCCAACTGTTTTATTTATTCATTTTTTAAATTTGAATTATAATAAAATATTGTATGCCGCTTAATTACAGTGTTATCATTTTGGCCATAGCGCTATTCAGATTTGGCGTTACTTTTACGTTATTTAAACATTCCTACGTTATTATATATACACGCTGTATAATGTAATAATCATTTAATGTTTTAAATATTTTGTAAATCCAATGTAAGCACACTCGCACACTATACTGAAATTAACCATATTAGTTTGCATCTTTATTTATATTTTGAATTAGCATTGCAGTGCAATAATCGATCTCGTAAAATTGATAATAATGATTTTATTTAATATGTTTTTAATAGGATAATGGACATCAAAGATGTAGGGGGTTAAACAAAATCAGTTTCAACAGCTTGCATAACATTGTCTCAAAATAAATCTGGGCGTGTTTTATCAGCTTGTTCAGAGTGTCATGACACATGTCATAAGATATAGAAAGAAAATTGAGATAAACAATATAACAGAAGTAAATTCTTCGTTAGACGCGGTTCCATTACTTTTTTCTCCATTCATATACAGGTCAGGTAATTATTCCAGGGCAGTACTACCCTAAATGATATATGGAATGAATTTCAGAATAATGATAAATAGATGTAACTGTATCTGGTAAAGATATCGGCAGGATACATGGTCAATATACAGGACAATGATGCGTTGACTTGATTTTAAAATCAGTTCAAACAAACATGTTTGTTTGTAGCCCATTTAAAACATATTTGCATATTATAGTAGTGATGGCGCAGTAAAAATTTACATAAATATATATTACTCACAAATGGTTGTCACAGAGTCCGAAACTTCAAATTTAAGTTATAAATTGATTCAAATAACATTTTAATCTTAGGGACGATCTCCAATTTATTTTTCTTAATTATTGTGCTGTCAGTAATAACATAACTTATGTGAATTCTTCAAAGACTTTTAATTTGAACTTACTATCATTCTGAAGTTACAAAACAAAATTAATATGTTTGAAAAAGACATTCACGGAGGTCTTAATTAATACAATAAATTTCTTTTAAGTAGTTTATCAGACATAAATAAAAGAATGAACTCTAAATGTGCTGTTGCCACGGAATATATCTATTTTAAAAGAAGAGGGGAAAAAGTAGCGTTATATATCTAAAACCTGTATATTTGCGACAATGCAATGCAACATCTCTTCCACCAATGCGATTTTTTTTCAAATTCAAAACAGTAAGTACAGTTTAGGTGGACACAACGTGCTTACGCATGATATGATATAAGCCTGGTTTCACAATATTCTGTTTTTAAACAACACTCATAACATTAAATCAGACAGTTTCATAGTTATTTTATACGGAGATATAAAAACAGCGTCTTTCCATTTGAGTAAGGTTTAAGTAAAGTGTTTTGGAACAAAGACGTTTTCCAAGGAATTTAAAACAGGTCCTGAGGTTCGAAGCTGATGTTAGTGAATGTATTTGTATTTTGACTTGCAAAATAAATCGTGTCATTCCGCAGTAAATCATACGTCTTTTAAAAAAATAAAATAAGACTCGACAGCATTACAGCCTAATTAACATCTGCAAATGAGATAATTGTTCGCGAAATGCAGCCTAACAATTGTGCTTAACATGATTTTTAAGTGTTAAGGACAAGTTTAAATGGTAGAGACGTTTGCCACTATTCTAGTGGTGCAAAGATTTTTTTCCGGAGGCTTTTGCTTTTATAGCAAAACCATCAAATGGGCGCCAAAAGGGAAAGGCAGACACACTTGGTGAAAGAAAGGGCGATTTTAAAGTCAAAATGAGTTAAAAAAGCGCCAGACTTTGCAGGGGACAAGGGGATTCAGGCTTTCTGTGTATCAATTTTGTTGTAATTGACTAATCAAAATAATTTTTGAATCAGCGGTGAGGGACAAATGCCCATTATTCTTAATATCCGGGGTCATATTTGCCTCGCTCGATCCGTTCGATAACTTTAACGTTGTTCTCCCTATTAAGCTAAACATACGGCCTCATTTATGAATACTCATATAAGTTGCAAATCCTGACCGAGAAATAAATTTAGGAATCGCCATATACGATGATGGTTAAGTTCACAGAGAACATAATATTTTTTATTGAAATGTTTTTAAAACTTGCGTATCTACCAGAATAAGTAAGATTAATAAATTTAAAGATAAAAAAGTGCTTTTCTATAATAATGTTTGCTGTTGTTTTAATTTTTAATCTTAAATATTTTTATTGGATAAACGATTATCAAAATTGTGATAAAGATACTTTGTCCTAAATCCTAAATTAAGACGTATACTTAAGTATTTAATTAAGGCCAATAGCTGACTTTATGACAATCAATCTGTATTACGAATGAGAAAGGTATGACAATTTAATCTTTCGCAGTCAAACAAGTTGTAGCTTAATACAAAATTGAGGTTCGAAACGAGGTTACATTGTTTGACATTTCTTTTCTTGATTTAGATTCATTTTAAATTTTATAGTTTAAGATTCCTGTCTCTTAATATTATTATTTAGTTTAAACTTTAGCTTAAACGCTTAATTTTAATTGAGAGAACGTTTGACGTAGTTAACAGATAAACTTCTAGTCGAGCTAAGTTGCTTTAAACGTAATTGTGACTTAATCGAAGCAATAGACTTTTAAAGTAATGCCTTTTTCAGAAACCAATAAAACTACTTTATGTAAAACTGTAAACCGTCTCGAAATATCATTTTCATTTTACTGAATTACAATGTATCAAGATTACTGTATGTAAAAAATAATGGAAATGTAGTTTCACCAGCGCAATGCCAACAAATAAAAGAGCTGCGTTCGATGGTATATGTAAATCACATGATCAATATGTTGTAGATATACGATGTCAATAAATTTATTGAAAACATTATTTATAATTAATTGGGTATTACTTCTACTGCTAAACAATGAAATAACCTTAAATAGAAAGTAATATCAATTGCTTAAAAACATTTGAACTTATAATGCGATAAATCATGTTCGAATTATAGCATGAATATGTTTGACACTTTTAGGTAGTTAATGGTAACTATAATGTTATAAGTTATAAAGTTCCAGTAAACTTTATTCGGTTGCAAAGTAGCCGAGTCATCTATATGTTTGAATAACTGTGAAATGACACGTTTTATTTTGCGAGTACTCCATAAGAATACTAGTAAATAAAATATTCATATTCGTCTCCGTAAACATGTATTGTCATTTCCGTCTTTTTGTTTGTTTTGTTTTGGGTTTTACGTCATATCGACACAGTATAGGTCATATCGCGACGTTCCAGCTTTACTGGTGGAAGAAGACCTCAGGTGCCCTTCCGTGCATTATTACAGGCACGAACGGGCATCTGAGTAGAACCACCGACGTTCCGTAAGCTAGCTGGATAGCTTCCTCACATGAAAGAATCCAAAGTCCCTGTCGGGATTCGAACCCACAGCGGTGAGGGACAGGTGGTTTGAAGTCAACGACCTTAACCACTCGGTCATATGGAACAAAAGTGTAAGACTGTACAAATGTCTTATACCAAACTATGAAGGTAGTTCACCGACTCTGGACTCATTATTCGAGAACCAGACCAAAATTTAAAAAATCCTTAAATATAAAAATCGTATATATTGTTAAGCTTTCTATTTGGCATTGAATTGACTTAAGTGTATCCGTCCTGCTACATTATGAAACGTATAATGGTACGGACATAATGGAATTTCTTTGCCGAAATTCTTCCCTTTAGTTCGCGTAATACACCTGTGCATTTGAAAAGAAAGCTTTTTTTATATGTAGTTCATATCTGTAATATTACACCATTTTTTCACATGGCCTTAAATGCAATTTCAGTAATAAACCAATAATTATAGTTACCATTTCTTGCAAATGTTAGTTTACAGGTCATAATTAAAAGTTTATTATTGTGAAGGTGACTATGCTCATTGAAACAATTGTGAAAATCTCAGTCATCTCATAAGAAACATGTAAAGAATCCGTGTGTTTTGATTTAACAAAAATAATAATTGAAGACTTTGAGGTAAGGTCAGTTGGCAACATAAAGACGTCTGTCCCAGAGACTTGTCAAAAAATGATAATTTTGCTACAACCATCAATAATAAAAAGTAAGTATACATGACATAAATTATATCATTGAAAGGTTAAAAAAACAAATAACCATGCGAACAATATATTTCATAAAAATAAAAATGTGTATCCTTTGTTAACTAAAATATCTGTTCGAAAGTTTAGTTATACATTTAGGGTCAAAATAAATATAACTTCTAAAATTATAGTGTGAAAAAGCTTTGAGTTTTTCTTTATAAATAAAAATTACAATCCATTCCGAATACACACAATCTTTTTTAAAATAAATAATTGTTTTTACACTTCGGCATACATACATAAAAATGAATATCAACAATTTAAAACAACCTTTCATTGGCAAAGTTATTTTGAAACGTTGTATTTTGATTCAATGTATTGTTATCATTATCTAAAATTGCGTCTGACTTAAAGTTTGATAATAAATATTTCTTGGATATTATATGTAACATTATAAAAAAAGTTATTGCTTGATTTTATATGTGTTTTTTGTTCGAATTCTTAGCTTAAATCTTTTAACGATAACATTTATGTAATATTCATGAACATTACTATTTAAAATTGTAAACACCGAAAAAGTGTTTCTTGTGCAGATATAATTTTACCCAATCTATCGTGTGTCCGCACACCTAAGTGTATACGTGACTGCAAATTGGCGGATCACGTAATGAAATTATCAGGATCAAACATGTTAAATATATCGACGATTGATATGCTTTGTTTATTCGTGTTGCTATTAGAAGGTATTGGATACAGTATAAAAGGGATTTTCTCTATTCAAATGAGCATTGTTAGTAGCCGTGAACGTTGTGTGAAAAAGGGTAAGTTTACAATTTTCATAATTTGTAATGTTCGGTTACGTTAACATAAAATTAGATATATAATGACAAAATCAAGTGTATTTTATCTAAAATAACGGTAATACAATAAAATGTGTATCCAAGTAAAAAGCAATAAAAAAATAAAATGAAGAAAGAAATTAAATAAATATAATTTACTAGAAGTTTTAAAATAACAATTGTTCAGTACTTTGAATTTTAATGTTGTTTTTGGTTTAGTTATATGTAATTGATTATCATAATAAGTTCTTTTTTCGTGCCTTTAAAAAAATACCTTACGTCGTATAAAATAGTTCATTAGGTATACAATTGAAAGGTAAATTTGAAGAGTGGAGATAATTTATTTAAAGAATATCTTATAAGTGTATGAAAATGTAAGTGACATCGACAATTTTGATTTTGTTGGGCGGTAGGTTGCTTTGAATTCTACCTAGGCTCCCCTGTTTGTAAATTTGTAATATAACTTTGAGACAAAAGGAAAGCAATTCTTTAGATAAACTCGTATATGTTTTAATTATTTAAGAGATAATTTTTAATTGCTGTTGTGCATTTAACAATTATTTCTGATTTTTTAATAGGCCGGTTTCTATAAAAAAAGATACGTTTGAACACTTTAATTTATTAATTCTATCTAGGTAATGATAAAGACATAATTTTACCAAGATGAAATGGTTTCCAATATTTGTGGTTCAACGTTTGTTGTTTGTGTTATAACAGTTGTTTTCATGTTTGCATAAGCGTAAAAGTGTTTTAACTGTAATATTTTATAGATAAATTATTTATTTATTTATTTATTTCTTTTCCGCCTATATTGCATTGTCAGTTAAACAATATCACTGTGCGTGTCTATAAGATTTAGAAAATTAAAGATATTATCGTACATGGTGAAACTGAAGGCTTTTAGTTCAATTTTTGCTCATTTTTATATGCATATGATGAATCTTTTTAATGCATAAGTGTATCGGAGTGTTTATATGGGAATTAAGGAGAATAGAGTAACGTTTTGAGTTTTTCATTCCTTTAGTTTGTAACGTTATTTGTAATAGGTTATCATAACGTCAATTTTCAATCTCATCTAGTTTATCAAACTTTGCAAGTCAAACTATGGAAATATCTTCCTGACTTCATTGTTACTCTCACGTTTGATTTTCTATCAAATGTTGTGCATGACTGTGTACTGTTGAAAGAGCCAGTATTTTTAAGAAAAATGTTTCCTAACTTTTATGTGAATTGTTCAAATTTATATATAGATAATTTGTTTATAAGACTTTTTTCTTTTTTAAGGTAGTACACCCCTAATGCACTATCTCCACTTTGAAGAGTATTCAAATAGGCTAGAATCACTGAAAAGTGAATTGAAACTGAGGGGCGTGTGTTCAAACCCCAGAAGGGGCACTTTTTTTTTCTTTTTAACATTTTTTATTAATCTCTCAGATCCCTAATAGAGGAAAAAAGTGTTTCATTTTAATTTTATAATTATTGTAGGTATTTATTTACTAAATAATGCCAAATTTAATAGCAAATATGATACTAGATATTTTCAAAGTTTAATAAAATAAAAACAACACGGTAAAAGTATTTTATATTTTGCAAGACTAACCAATATACATTTAAGACAATTTAGGCAAACTTTGAAAACAGCCCTTTATTGTGGAAAATTTTAGGGATATTTTAAATAAGGCTTTTTACATAGGGAAATGGTCAAATAAGTGTTAAAAGTGGGCGGGTAGGGTTACATTTTTATACATATTAAAACATTTTGTTTAAAAACAATCATTTTGCTTGTTTAATTTGTTACCTAAATGTTATTATTTGTTTCTTAAAAATTAGCAATAAGAAAACATTTTTCATAATGATGATATTATAGATTATTTAGAGTGTCCTCATTTCTGAAAAAAGCCCTTCTAATGGCAAAATTTTAGTTCAGAAAAATGTCCATAACTCATTAACCACACGGTAAATTTTGTTTAAATTTTGCATACAGGTGACATTTAAGGCATATAACTGCCCTATGTTGTCAATTTTACAGTTCCTTATAGTGTCCATTATGGGTGTTCTACCTTAATGCCAATGCGAAAAAATATAACACTTCAATCAAATTATTAATAAAGAAAATAAAAGCTACGTAGTTCATAAAAACTGTTAACCTATTTCCACGAATCCAACATAGATTTCTCATTTTCAAACATTCAAACATTGTTCCTACATTTTGTGATAATTGCAGATATTGTCATTCAAAAACCGAAATCATGAGAAGCATATACAAGCTTGGATTATTAATGATACTTACATTTCTTGTACTGAATGGTCGCATTTGCAATGCAGGTAACACGTTTTAAAATTAAAAATTATGTCTCAATTCATCGTGTCTAAAATGTATAGTTTAAAAAAAGAAAAATCCAACTATTTGTAATGAAAAAATCGTCATTTTTTTTCGCACAGAAAAATGAAATTGTTTGGATCGGATTTTCAATTATGTTTTCTCATCTTAAAATATTTGGATGTTAATACATGTACAGATCGATATATTTCTTGATGTGCAGTAAACAAAAATGTATTAAGGAATCTATCTTCTGATTTTATTCCGATCGTTCTAAGTTTGACATACTAATAAGCTTGTTAGTAGTCGTCACCGCTACTAAAACTGATGTTAATGAGCAAACAATAAATACTCATCTGTACACTTTCAGTAAAGTTTTTATTTTAAACTTTGATATATGTAAATATATTAAGGAAAAGAATGAGAAACTGGATGAGAATTTTAAATATTGTCTTTTTATTTAATAACATTTATTTTACGGCCGCAGTATTCATTAAAATACAAAAATTGAAATTTGATACAGGCAAAGTATCTGCAGAGGATTGTACTAAAGTAGGGACTGAGTGTAGTGGTATCACACATGCAGTGTGTAACAAGACAAGTCTGAAATGTCAGTGTGATGCTGGCTTTAAAGAAGACAGTACAGGTGGGAGTACATGCATAAAAAGTAAGTAGAAAACAAAGAACATAAAGGTTGTCGGTATCCGGAGTGAGAGAGAGAGAGAGAGAGAGAGAGAGAGAGAGAGAGAGAGAGAGAGAGAGGGGGAGAGAGAGAGAGAGAACACATTGCATCTTAATTCCACAAGTGTATATCTTTGCCATTCGAAATATATGACCTGTTTGAAATATGATTTAAAGTTGTGTCAATATTTTTATCACAACTTATTTCTAAAACGTTTAGACTAAACGATTTATAATTCACATACAACTCCATGATAAATGAACATGGACAGTGTAGTGTTTTTAAATATTTTCTCCAGACATGAAATGTTAATCTACCGTACGGTAAAGTAGTGCGAACTCATTTTGATACATTAAATGTGTCATTGTCGTAAAAAAATCTAATATAAGATAATGTTTTGAAAAAGGGTTATTTTGCAGACAGATTGTTTGTTTTACGAAATTGAAATCATTTGTCTATTTTGGTTCACATTTAACATTTATGGGATGTCAATCCAATACAAATTTATTAAACTTCACAGTCGTTTGGTTGTTCTTTATCAGTCATAATAAGACATCATTTCGTTACATAAGAGTAATCAAAATAATCAAATATTTATACGTAGTATTTGTATTTGGTATGACCAAACATATTTACCTATTGTACGGAGAAAAGACATAGTGTAATTGAATTTTGATTCAGAGAAAGTATCTGAAGTGGTGTGTACTAATGGAGGAAGTGAGTGTAGTACTATCACACACTCCTCATGTGCAGCTACTCTGAAATGTAAATGTGGCACTGGCTATGGTGAAGATACTACTGACGGAAGTACATGTGTTTCAAGCGCTAGCAGTCACAATATACAAAGCAAACGTAAGTAAAAAAAAGACACCAACATAGTTTCTATACTTAAGACTTTCTTATCAAAACAAACCATCGAGTTGCCCTGAACAGTCTTTTTCTTTGCAACTGATTGTCGCTTATATAAGAATTAAAATACATGTAAGAGCCAACAAGTAATACTTTTCTTCTAATAAACAAATAATTATACTTTGTCAAACAGTTTTGTACAATGATAAAAATATGTAACATGCCGATTATAGAATATTGTCCTTTATTTATATGATCAATGTGTATGTTCATAGATCATAATTATAAAATTCCTTTTACTAAACATCTAAATAACAATAGCATTATGAAATAGTAAATAGTTGAATAAACAATAATGTTGAACATTCTAGTAAATGCTTAAGACTAGCACGTTAAAAGGGGTTGGCAGTTTTATTCACTAATTGCGAATACTATTTTAAAACGACATTCTAGGAACTTCAAAGTATTTAAATGTGTCACAAAAATGTTAAAATTACGATACTTATGTTTCAAAATTTAAAGCATAACTTCATTATTGACTTGTCTAAACACTGTAATATTTTGTCAGACTGACTTGTCATTGTGTTCAAGTTCGGCAGTTATCTTGCCTAAAGACAGTCTTTTTTGTCGAACTTATGTCTTATTTTGTCGACATGTGGTGGTATCTTGTTCAACCTTTATACTACTTGTATGAACATTGTCCTGTTTTACTGTTATCTAGCGTTTTATTAATTGGTGTTACTCTGTCTACTATTGCCAAAAATCGTGATATCTTGCCTAAAAATACTTATTGTGTGAAATACTAGTGTTGACATGCCAATATATAAATAACATATGGGTTTGTGGGTAACAGTAAAAATATTATCCTAAGGAAAACACTGTTATCCGAGGCGTTAGCCGAAGTTTACAAAATCGAGGGATTGTTTTCTTACTTTTACTCACAAACCCATGTGTTATTTTTTTATTACCCCGAACAAAAGATGTGATGATATGAAATTGTCAACTAAGTCAATCTAAGGCTGAATCCAGAGAAAAAGGCGGATATTTTTCTATTTTTTTAGAAAATAGACCACGTGAACAAATTCTATACTGTTGAAAATACTGTTGTCCTGATACAGTACAAATTTCTTAGTCACGTGGTACACTTGCATTAACGGTATAAATAACTCCCAATTGCTTAAACACAAAAAGTAAGGGGTAATTATAAATAATACCTGTTTGTGTAAACGTTATTTTATTGTGTCAAACAGTATTTTGGAAATGTGTCGAAAGTTGGTATTTTTTACAAATTATGGTTACGAACTATTAGAACGCTATTTTGTCAAACTGTCACACTGTTTTGTCCAAATACAGATTTAGCTTGTATATATTCGTCTTATTATGTCATACAGTAATATTATATTGTCTAAACATGGCGATGACTTGCCTTATTGTACTATCCTTTTCTCAAAAATTATTTTTATTTGGTCCGGGTTCGGTGTAAAATGAGCTCAACTAAGGTCTGACAGTCAATTTGGTGTCCAAAATAAATGTAAACAAATTTCTACAAAAATCACAATATTATAACTAAAATGACAACACTTTACATTATAACCACTAATTTAACAATATTGACGGTAAATAATGCATTTTTTACATGAGTTTTTGGTGCAGAAATGAGATTAAAGATGGTTTTTAACAGACATGTACAGAAGTTACCAACAAATCATCGAGTATGACTAAATTAAGCAACGGAGATATATTTCAGGCAACTGAGTAAACGGGAAAATCGTCTGTTGATTTGTCTCAACACTTTAACGTATCATGTTGATATAAATTGAGTATAACGAAGAAAAATTATAACAAAAAGCTTTTAAAACGTTGCAAAGTTGATGTATTGAAAGATTATACGCCGGCAAAAATGGAATTGTACACCACAAAAAACGGAGAAATATAATGTATGTATTGTCTTTGAAATTTTTAAAACATTGTTAGTTTATTTATAACTTAATTCAAACAAAAGTAAAAATATCTATTTACTGGGTGTTAAAAATTATAACCAGTTTGTCTTATGTATATCATGTTGAAAAGTTTTAATTTCGATAGTTTTGAGGAACATTATGCATAGGAGATATTTTTACTATAATAAGCACAATGCATTTTAATGGAATCACACTGAAAATTGCTTACCTCTTTCATTACGTATTAAGATTATAAACAGTAAATAACAAATAATTGTCGTTTAAAAACGAATTTGAATAACTATTTCAATCGTTTAAAAATCAGAAACGAAAGAAACAGTTTTCCGATCGTAATATTTACTGTGGCATATATTTATCAAAGCAATAACGTATCACAACACCGCATTTGCACAGTTTTGTCATGTGCTCAGAGTGACCTCTCTTCCAGAAAATCAAATCTAAAATGAGAATACAAGCGAAAAAAAGACAAACAGCTAAAAAGACCAGAGAAATCGAATAAGGAAATCGTGCGTGGAAAATGAGTCTGAGTACATAGCAAATGTCATCGTTTGTAGTCGAAAAATATCGTGAAACGTAGTGGACTAAACATTACAGAAACAAACTTAAGTTAAACCAAGCCTTTCATTGCTAATGGTGTACGTGCTAATCTGATGCTTTATAAAATACAAGTAGTACCCCATTAAATATGACCCGTCGACAAAAAAAAACTCTTGATCTCTTAAAAAATCTTTTTGAATTTGAAATCGGGTAATGTAAAAACTAATTGCTGAAAAATTCAAGAATTTTAAAACTAATTGCATGAAAAATTATCTGGAGGTCTGGGTAATGATATAAAAGTATGCTGTAAAATGTGTATGAACATATAAACAATATAAGACAATATGCATTGTTCCATGGTCAAATTGTCCTACTTGATAGTATCATGAGCGTAGATCATATTTGTACACACATTTCTACTTAAAAGACAAAAACAAACACATATTGGTGACTTTTAAAAAAGGCATAAATGTTATTATGAAACTGTAATACATACATAATATTGTACAGTTTTTGTTATTATAACAATATGTTATTTATCATTGACTTGATGTATATAAAAGGAACCCTCGAGGCTCGAATTTTTTCAGAAATCTATTTAGAGACCACTTTATTATCCCTTTACCTCATATAAACGCGAAACAACGCACTTTCGACCCCCCTTTTAGGCCTCAACTAGTGAAAAATATCCTGTTTGGGCCCCAAACACATGTTTTTGTTTGAGAAATGACAATAAAAAAGTGACCACTTTTTCGGCGCGGCCCTCAAACCAAAAGATACATCGGTTTGTTTGGGGGTTTGAGGGAGGACGGCAGTTCCCCTCATCGCCAAGAAAATTTTGGACTCGTGAGAGGCTAAAAATGACCCCAGATCGATCATAAGGTAACGTGTAACCAACGCTGAAAAGCATTTGACTCTATCTCAATCAATTGAGAAGTTGCAGCACTTTGAAATCAATTTTGATGGAAAAAATCAACGCAAAGTAGTGATTTTTGGCAAATATGAGATGTCCCCTTGTTGCCATGGTGACAGGAAATTTAAGCTCGAGCATGTTGTTACAAAGGCAATGGTCTAGTCAACATTTGTGCCAAGTTCTTTTTAGTATTGAAGCAGTTTTTATAGTTTTATAGCAATTTGAACTTGTAACGGGAGACTTTTCAATGAAAACAGCCATTTTTCACAAAATGAAGTAATGGGTAAAGAGACCACTTTTTGGCAGTTACATGAGTGGTCTCTTGGTACAATGTCGACTGTATTTCAGGCACACACGGGCACCTGAGTATAAAAACCGACGTTCCGTAAGCTATCTTGATAGTATCGTACATATATGTTCCAAACATACTCATTTCTGAAAATAAAATCAAATCCAATAGTACTGATGTCATTATATTGTATGTTATTAAACGTTAATGATTCCATAAGAAACTTGATTAGAATTTAATGATTTTTCGGGAAAAAATATTTGGATTAGTTGTCCTACAGATGAGATCAACGCGCTTAAAAAAGACAGACAGAAATTCTCAGCTAATCTAGGGACTTTAGATAACACATTTTCACTCTAGTTTCACAGATAATGAATACCATATGTCAGGGTTTACGCCTATGTTTTGAGATTTCTGCTCTTGAAAACAATCCAAACGATTAAATAAACTCACTTTTAGGGGCAAATAAAGATAATTCATGAAACAGGTAATAATGAAGGTCTAGATCAAAAACATAATGAACTGCTTAATGTTAAATTTACATTTAATGCGAATAAATGTGCATGTGTGTGTGTATCAAAATGATAATATTTAAATTTCAGATCTATCTTGTGAAATAAAATTTGTATTACTGCAGATATACACTAGACACACATGAACATTATTTCTAGTAAATTTTATAGTAAAAGCCCTTTGGTAGCCTGATTCTTCATTTCTGTCTTACGTTTAGACCGTCACAGTCAGTGCTTTTAGCGCTTCGATCCGAGTAGAAGACAACACGATATCGTTTTCTTTGTAATGTCATTGTGTGTGTGTGTGGGGGGGGGGGGCATGGCATGCGCGCGTGTGTGTAATATTTAGTGCTGACATAACTCAAGGTATCGTTTGTTGTATAAAAGGTACTATGGTCTTTTTTTCGAACGTGTGTTAGATAAACTAAGACATAGTAATAAAGTCACGTTAGAAATATGATCCGCTTTTTATTCAGTTCGAGACTCATCACGTGACCGTTATTTTTAGACCGAACGTTTAGATTTGCAAACTGAAAAGCGATTAAACGCCTTCCCATGATATTGGAAAAATATTATTTTATATTACGAATTTCAAGTCAAAGGTCAATATCAATGCATCACATCACTGTTTCTGTTCAAGTGTCCCTAACACGAAGGTACCAAAAACACTTATCGTTTCGTGACAATTCACTTGTTTTGTGACATTCGACCATACCTCAGTGTAGTACCTTTAATAGACTTAACCTTTCCGACAAAATACCACAGGTATTGCACATAAAAAGACCGAGATTACAAACATATCATGGTAGATTAACGTACTAAGACATGATTTGGACAAATAAACATCGCTTTTAAGAAGAAAACTGGACAATTTAACAAAATACGACAGCTCTTTTTCAATTTAGAACTATTTGGACGAAATAACATAACTATCATACATAAAACGTCTGTTTTTTTTCTACAAGAAAACACCAGCATTTGACGAGATAGCGCTTCTCTTTGACATTCATAGAAATAAAAATGTAGTTTAGACAAGTCAGTACCATATTTTGACAAGATAATACAATTATTTGGACTGAGACTAAAAAAAGGATTGGAGCACCACACTAAATACCGTATTCCGGTATATACCGGACAAGGCGCATGAATGATAAAATGCTAAAATCTTGCCTTTTTACCCAACGGAATGAACTTTAAAAGGTCTAATTCATCTTTTCATACCAATTCGATTTAAATATGATAATGAATGAAAAATGTAAAAATCGTCGAAAAAAAAAACGACATTTGTATATTTTGTGATCATGATTTCTGCAAGCGTCTAGAGGTACTGCTTCAATCCTGTATTGAGTTAAATCCGATTATTTGATATCATAAGACTGTGTTTTAACAAATCATACCGCACTTGGCAGAAGAGCATACAGTTTAATATCATAAAAAGGCATAATTTGGTACAGTCAGCAAGATAATTATAATAATTGACATAATAAGACAATTCAATATTCTACTATGACTACTTCTGTTTGGCACAACAAGACAATGTTTAGGCATTTAAACACCATACTTTGACAAAATAGCATAGTTTTTTGATGTAATAAAGCAGTGTTTTGACAAGGCAATGCCAAATTTCGATTAGAGAACATTGCTGCTTCAAAATCATATAGTCTTTTGACATATCAGCTCCCAAATTTGACAAAATAACGGAACAACATTTTGATATAATAGCACTACTGTTTGAAATCAAACAATGTTAAGACAAGTCAACATCACATTTTGAAGAGATAAGACTATTGTTACACATAATTAGGCAAAGTTTAGACAAGTCGACAAAATACTACGGAAACACAATACAAACATTTGACATGACAAGGCGCTTTTTAGGGAAGATAAAAAGAAATGTAACAACAAGAGGCAGTTATGGCGTTCCATAAATGGCCTAAATACAAAAGGATCTTTTTTAAAATTTGCCACAGCTTGGTATCAAACCCAATACATGTCATGCTGAAATTCCACGTCGTGTAGACATTCATTACATATGTAATCCAGTTTCAGTAATTGAAACGTTTTTTTTTTTCTAAAACGGCATCAATAAGGCGTCCGGAAATCTCTTATAAACAGTTCGGATAATATTCTGCAGAATCGTTTAATAGGACAATAGTATCTTGTTAGTCAAACAAAAGTTTTCGAAAGATATTATCGCTTTTTTTCCCAGAAAGTTGGACCAACCTTAAAGATAATACATGCCGTTGTTAGCATAGCAAAATGCGCATGACCTTTACGTTCTCCCTCAATGCGGCGCTTAGAAAAGACAAAATGGCTGTCATGTGTAGCCTTGTCGAAAATTTAATTCAATTTTTTCTCGATTTTCTGGCTATATACATTTTTATTATATTTCATAAAGAAATAACGAAAACTAATATTTTCAATCAGCATTTATTTCTTCGTGTAGCATATGAATTTACAACTGCAAAACGACGTCATCCTAAGAACGCAATATATCATTTAAACCTCGCGAGAATCGCGTAATTTACGGCACGGGACTTGTGTCACATGGGGATGGTGACTGTCAAGTATTCTACATTTCAAATAATTATTATTGAAACAAATCATTGTGCGTTTTCTTCCTTTTTTACTGTCAATAATTACCTTAACTTAAAACTGTTAAGAAAACCTGTTATTTTAAAGAATCTTTGTTATCAAAACATGGGCCATCAATATAAATTTGAAAATAGATAAAAAATGTAAGACCCCTTGTTTCCCTTATTTAACATACATTTGTTACAAGGATTTTTGAATAAATCCTTTGCTTATTTATGATCACACAATAACATTTAGTTTTTTCAATATTATTTTGTCTCTACAGATACTATGAAAAGTATGTTCCGACAAGAATGGTGATTTAGCAATCAATTTTATATCTCTGCCCTTTGAAATATGTGTCATAGGATACAATACGATTTTCAAGGCTGTATTAATATTTTTATGACAATTCTATTTTAGAGACGTATAAACTAAACGTTACAAATATTGTTCAATAAATTATTTTAGGGACGTTAAAACTAAACGTTACAAATTTTGTCTTAAAACTTTTGTTTTTAACAAATGGTGTACATCCTTACTTTTCCGAACGTTTAATAACTTACAATTACATTGGTTAAAAATATAGGTCAACGATTTTAAAACAACTACGCCAAAACGTTTAAAGAAGTTGCATTACAACAACATGCTTTATCTTTTAAAGTGGGTAATGGTTAGTAAACATAGACAATATACTGAATTACAGTATTTACTTCAGGCAGAAAAGGTAAAACTACCGTACAGTAATGTAGTGACCAACTCATTTTTGATACTGTAACATTAAACATGTTATTGTCGTAAAAAGATCAGAAAAAAATATTGCAGTTAGTCTTGTTGATCAAGGTCATATTTGATTTACGTATTTGAAATGTGTCATTTGTTTGATGAACATGAACATTCATGGAATGTCTAACATATACAAATTGTATCAAACTTCATGGTTGACTGTGCATTTTATACCAGAATTTAAAATCATGTCTTTATATCAGAAAAAAAAATCAACTCTAAATGTTTATACTTCGTTTTTGTATGTGATATGAGCAACCATATCTACATACAATAATTATTGTGGTTCACGGAGGAAAAAATTAACATAACGTGATTGAATTTTGATTCAGAAAGAGTATCTGAAGTTGTGTGTTCTAATGGAGGCAGTGAGTGTCATGTTATCACACACTCCTCATGTGACGCTACTCTGAAATGTAAATGTGACACTGGCTATGGGGAAGATACTACTGACGGAAGTACATGTATTCAGACCACTAACAACCTCAACACAAACCAACAAAACAAACGTACGTTTATGCATTTAAATTTTAATTCTTTTTACACCTAAGTTGTATAAAGAAATAAATTGACCGAATTTGCTTCACAAAGGAAGATAGTTTTGACATTTGCCATTAAACAGGATCCCCTGTATATAATTATTCATACTAACGTGCGCGTTTGCGAAATATTTTATATGACAAATTTGTTGAAGCGGAAGTTGATAAAAATTACGTGTTGTTTAACCATTAACTAGAAAAAATAGAAATAGTCATGTCCGTATGATGTTTTTTTTATTAGGTTTGCCTACACTTATTGTTTTGTTGTATGAGGTAGAATTAGCCATATTCATCATGTAAGCTGCAAAAGATGTGAATGTGCGTTTTTTGGAGCAAATATGTCGATAGTGATTTTTTTTGCGCATGATTTCACGGCGTCTCAACGCCGTGATATTGTGATGGGTAGTTTTCGGTAGCATGGGCAAAAGTCACGTGACAAAATTCCTTTCGATTTCTACAGCCGACATTTTATTGGCTTTTTTACGCAATCATTGTACAGCCCATTTCCGTGAAAAGTTACATAGAAACATTTTCCTTTCAAATCATATACATTACAGTATTTCTATCAACACGCGAAATATCAGCGTGATATATTTACACAATTTCGCAAATCCTTTCGACACACTTGGGAAGTTTGAATACTAAAACCCGGATTTCGAATATCGTTGTGGTCTACATTGATGCCGTACATGTATCCATTCGTTCATTCATTTATATATTTTCAAAATTTTCCTACAAGAAAGTTCACCTGCCAATTAGTACATGTATAAGGATAGGTAATGGACTGTTATAAACGATTATCCTATTAATTTTATATATTACGTTTATCTGTTGCACAGAATGGTTGGTTTTACAAGGTGTACCAGTATCCGGATGTTGAAAGCTATCCGATTTTCTGCAAAAACTACTGTAACATGGCCATCTATTTTTTTTATGAATACTTTACCATGAATTTGCATGGCTTAATAAAACTGAGCCTGCAACATTTCTTAATTTTGATATTTGGGGTGTTCTTTTGGGTTTCAGGTTTTCTCTATTTTAAGGGGAAGTAACTCATGTTTACTAAATTATCTGTTCTTTTCTGTCTATCTTAGGTTGTAGTTAGGTATTACTTACTATTTTTGTTTCATAAATTTACCAGTTGTAAGGTATTAATCAAAAGCATAAAGGCAATGATGAGTGAATATTGATATATATTTTTTTACTGGCTTTATATACCTTAGACCAGATTTTTCTAGTTTGTTCAGTTAGCACATATACTACAGTATAGGTATTCTGCTAGAGGAATATTCTAATCAATATGTGAAATTATTATTTTCTATGTGTTTGTATTTAAATTGCTCATAAAATAACCTTTGGTAAAAATGAAAAGGTAGAATATTTAAGCTATACATATGGGTGCTCATTTTAAACACTTGATATATATACAGTTAGTTTTATAGTAAAGTCTAATGAGGGACAGTATTTGTTACTGTAAGAGATATGCATTTAATGTTTAGAAACTCACACAACTTAATCTTTATTATTATAATTTTTTTGAGATTTTTTTTACTTTTATACTAAACAATATCATGTACATTATAGTTTTCTTTCTACAAGATTATGAATTCCACCCAAACACCAATGTTAATAGGCTGTTATATTTATTTTTAATGGAACCTGAGAATTATTTATGTAATGTTCATACAAGTGTATCATAGTATATGGATATAATGTGTATTTCTGTATTTAAAGACTTACAGTTATGATGGATGAGACTTGCATTTAAATTTATAAATGATAATACATGATCAGTCTACAGGTTAAAGATGTTTATACCCAGTGTTAGCTGGCTAATAATAGTATCTATAACAGAGTTTATATATTATAGTTTTCTTTCTACTAGATTTTGAATTCCATCCATTAGTACCAATGTTTATGTTAGGATTTCATATTTATTTAATAGAAACTGGGAATTATTAATGATGATGTGCATACATGCATGATCTTAGTATATTGATATGATGAGATTTATAATATTTCTGAATTTAAAGAGTTACAGTTATGTCATTATTATTAAAGGGATGAGACTTTCATTTAAAGTTATAAATGATAATACATGCATTGATTGAAAATGTCCTGAATCTTGGATCCAGCAATATAATTGATAAAGTCTCAAAACAAATCATATTCTGAATAGTTACATTCTATTTTTTTTTCTAACATGTGCATAGTTTGAAATGGACAGCTTCTGCCTTATCTATTTGCAATGGAGGGACACCGGTCTCAATCTCCAGGTCTCCTGAGTCAACCTGACAACATAATTTTCATAGAGTAGATTGTTACTTGCCCTTGAATAAATTTGTACACTAAATTTATAGTGGGTGATTTAATGTGCCACATGAAAACCAACAAAGTACAAAAAGTAACCAGGCGCCAGATGAAAACATGAAAATACAATCTACCACGAAGTGGTTTGTTGGTTGCATAATTTTCATGTTTTCGCCCGGTGCCCTCAATGATGCAAAATACAAATCAGTCTTCATAAAATTTCTTATCATAGAAAAAGGTTAGTTTTTTATCAGTACAAAAAATAGATATTGTACATGAATTAGCACAGTTATGTTCACTTTTAAATTGACCTGTTATAAATAATGGCACAACCAATAACTGTCTAAGCCCTTTTTAGTAAAAATAATTATACAATGGTATATGAAATTGTTATCTTAATTAAGACTATATGAGTATATAAGGGTTTTTTTCTTTATAATTTATTAATTAAGAATTATTTATCTGTTAATTTGAAAATCTAAATATCTGTCATGGTTTAGAACTGTTCACTATTTAGGGGAGAAAATGTGTAAGTGGCCAGATAGCTCAGTACATTATTCTGTGGGTCACAGGTTTGAGTTATGGTGAAGCTGAAAGTTTTTATCATCCTGTGACTGCATATAACCATGAGTTTAATTCACTATGCTCTGTTAACATCAGAAATTCAATAACATATAGTTGAGAAATATGTTGTGGTTTAGAACTGTTTCATTATTTAAGAGAAAATGTGTAGCCGGCCAGATAGCTCAGTTGGTCTTCTGAAAGTCATGTGTTCGAGTCATGGTCAGGCAGTTTCAGTCAGGGTTTAGAAGTGGGTTTGCGACTGGCACATGTTTTATTCATTTAATAAAGTGCATTTAATTTGAAATGGACAAAGGCAGTATTGCATGATACTGTTAGATCTACAAAAGCATTTGATACAGTTGATCACACTATACTGCACATGAAGAAGTTCTTTTTCTTCTTCTTATTGGAACTTCAAGCATATATGTAATGACATTCTTACATGGTTCAAGTTTTATCTCTGATAGCAGCTGGTTGATGTGGATGGTACTCCTTCTACTTCTGCTCTGAGTACCTATGGTGTCCCCCTGATGTTCATTTTAGGTCCTCTTTTATGTCTAAAATATGTCAATGACATGTCCGCAACCCTAAGCAATACTAAGCTTTATTGTATGCACAGGTACAAGTATCAGACCTGGGAAGAAAAAATATGATAAGATTCCCAGGTTCGATACTCGTGCATGTGATTGTATAATGATGACTCAGGTATCCTTGTATCTGGTAAATAAATCTTAAGATTGGTTAATTGACTATAAATTGTCTTTGTATCTTGGCAAGACAGTGTCTATTCTTTTTGGTTTAAGTTTCAACTTAAACTGGGCCTAGCCTCCTCGTCACATGAAATGGTACAGCTATAAAGTACACATCTTTTGTTAAGTATTTAGGTCAAATTCTTTTGGCGTCGCCCTTTGATGCTTTGCATCAATGCTTTTCTTGTTGTCTTTTTTGAAAAATTTCATTTTCTTGCGCAATAAAACATTTTTTCCCTAAAATGAGACTTCGTTTTCCATATGCGTTTCACAGTAAGCATTTACCATACAATGTTGTACAATTTTGGTCCGTAAATCAGTCTTTTACACAGTCTTCTGAACTTCATTCAGAATTCATGTCTCATTATTGTGAGCAAAATTCTGAGTTCCTTAAGCTATAAGCTGGAAAATGTTTAATTATCCCCCGCCGAAAAGGCGGTTGGGGATATAAAATTAGTCTCCGTCCGTCCGCCTGTCCTTCCTTCAGTCTGTCCTTTCCGTCCTCATTTTAGTCCGGACCATATCTTAAAAAGTATTTGAGGTATCAAATTGAAACTTCATAGGTGGATAAATCATATTTAGGAGAAGTGCAGTGCACAACAATAATGATTCTACCCTACATAATTTTTCAGTTATTGCCCTTTGTTATTTTTCAAACTCAATTTTTGTCCAGAGCATAACTCAAAAAGCCTTTAAGATAGATAGATCTCACTCAGGAGGTGTGCAGTGCAAAAAAGGGATAACTCTACCCCTTCATAGTTTTTGAGTAATTGCCCTTTGTAATTTTGCATACTTTATTTTGCACCTGAGTGGAGCATAACTAAAAAAAATCTTTGAGATGTCAACATGAACTTCATCGGTGGATTGATCTTATTGAGGAGGAAAGTTGTGCGAAAGAATGATAACTGTACTGATTATAATTTTTTAGTTATTGATATTTGTTTCATACTTTTTGTCCGGAGCATATCTCAAAAAGTGTTAGAGGTAGATCTTACTCAGGTGGTGATAACTCTACCCTTCATACATGTATTATTTGAGTTATTGCCCTTTGTTATTTTTCATACTAAATTTTTCACCTGAGTCGAGCATATCTCAAAAAGTGTTAGAGGTAACACCTTGAAACTTCATAGGTGGATAGACCTCATTGAGGAGGAGTGCTGCACACAAGAGTGATAACCGAGCGTGCAATATTTTTCAGTTATTGCCCTTTGTTATTGTCCATACTAAATTTTTGTCCAGAGTATAACTACAAAAGCCTTTGAGATATCAACATGAAACTTCATATATAGATAGATCTCACTCAGGAGGTGTTCAGTGCATAAGGGTGATAACTCTACCCTTCATAAT